ATTCTTAAACCATAAAAAATTTTAAAAAAAATAAAGCACTGAAGTTAAGGCACTTCCAGGTTGAACTAATACCTATCAAGTCTCTTACATATTTCTCTTCCTCTCAAGTTCCTTGTTCATATTTTTATCAGTCCCATATTTTCTACCTTTCTAACTAGTGAATATTTTATTGGAATCCAGTTTTGCCCACGATAGCACATATATTCTATATTCTAAATACATTGGCTTGTTTAAAAAATATTTTTAAATTCTCAGATTTAAAATACGCACTTAAGACTAATTCATCACATTATACTACTTTATGTGTCGTACATGTAATAGTGAAATATTATCTGTAACTTTTATTAATTCTCCTTGTATTAGGCCACCAGCTGAAAGAATTTCTCTGTGAAGTTCAGAAACATACATATATCCCCTGCTCAAATTCATGTGTTATAATTCTCTATATTTTAAAATACTCCTAATTCTCCTCCTTCCTTTCTCATGTCATTTTTCTTATCCACAAGCACTCATATGCTCATTTGTATTTACATTCGTTTACATACATGGACATGGAGAAACAATATATTCATACTAGTACTTGGGGGAATTGTTTTTGGTGAGGGAAATCAACAATGTTTTAAATTGCATTCACTTATTTATTTGATTAAATTTTATTTTACATTTTTAAGATTAAAAATTTTACTAGCTCTTTGATAGTATTGTTCAAAAAGTTTTGATCATATTCATTCCCGTGGTGGTTTGAATAAGTAGGGCCCATATAGACTTGTGTGTTTGAATGCTTGCATTTAGGGAGTGGCTCTATAAGATGTAGAATTCTCAGCTCATTCTCTAGTACTGTGTCTGTCTGCAATTCTCAGTGTCTCTTGCCATGATGATAATAGATTAAACCTCTGAAACTGTAAGCCAGACCCAATTAAATGTTTTCCTTTATAAGAGTTGCTTTGGTCATGATGTCTCTTCACAGCAATAGAAACTCTAACTAAGACAGAAATTGATACCAGGGACTGGGGTATTTTTGTGATAGGCCTAACCATAATTTTGTTTGGAGAAATGTGGACTTTGGGGTTTTGGATTAGAAAAGCAGTGGAATGCTTTAAGTGCTGCTTAATGGGCCATCCTAGTAAAAGCATAGAAGACAGTGGTGCTGAGGATGAATTGAACTGTGGGGGACTGGTTCAAGAGGTTTGAGAGGAGAAGAATTTTTGTATGTAACTTAGAGAACATTCTTGTGATATTTTGGTGAAAAATGTGGCTGCTTTTTGCCTTTATCTGAAGAGTCTGCCTGAGGTTAAAGTGAAAGGATTTGGATTAATTCTGTTGGCAGAGAAAAATCTCAAAACAGCCCTATATGGAATCTGTAATATGGTTATTAGTGTTAACTCCAATGAAGATTTAGAATGAAAAGGAGCAAGCTGAGAAAGTAAAAATACAAAATGTACAATTTGAGGAGTAAAAGGGCACCAGGAAGTGGAATAGAGCTAAATCCTGTGTTCAAGGAGACAAACAGATTAAGATCTAGAATAAAGGGAGTGGTGACCTCAGGGCAAAATCCTCCCTAGCTAAATTTCCTACTTGTGAAAAAGAATTAAAGAAAAGTTTAGAACCAGGTGCAGTGGTACATACCTTTAATCCCAACATTTGGAAGGCAGAGGCTGATGAAGCCAGCCTGGTCTACAGATCCAGTTTCAGGACAGACAAGCTTAGGCAGTGAAAGAAACCATCAAAACAGAAAGTTAGTGAAGATGTAATTGAATAAGGAGGCCATGTTCCAGCCCCAGCAAGCATCAGAACTTGGCAGTTTCAGCCATATAGTTCTGGCTATACAGTCAAGGATAGAAGGTAGGGTTATGGAATCTTACTCTGAGCAGCTGAGATCAGGCATGTGTCAGGGGTGTCCCTGAATGGAGACCCAGAGAGGTCATTATGTGAAGCTTTGCCTGGATTGCCTTAGAGACTCCAACATGCTGGAGATGCCACAGCTGTTGCATACCTGCCCAGGAAATCTAGCATGGAGTGGAACCAGCCCAAGAGAAAGAAGTGTGTTGCAGTCAGCAAAGTTGAAAGAAGTTGGACACCTGAAGAGCATTTTGATATCAGACATGGAAATGCATAATTTGGAGTTTGCCCAGCTGGTTTTCAGTCTTGACTTTGATCCAGTATTTCCTCACTGTGCTCCCTTTCCTCAATTTTGAAATGGTAATGTATATCCTGTGCCATTATATGTTGGAAGTATGTGCTTTTTTTATTTTGATTTTACAGGGGGATTACAGTTAAGAGATTGCATGAATCTCAGAGACTTTGAATTTTGGACTTTTAAACATTGTTGAGACTGTGAACTACTACGTGGACTTTTGAAGTTGAACTAAATGCATTTTGCATTGTGATATGATTACAAGTCTATGGGGGCCAGGGAATGGAATATGGTGGTTTGAATAGGTATGACCCCCAGAAATTCATGTGTTTGAATGCTTGGCCTGTAGAAAGTAGCACTATTAGGAGGTATGGACTTGTTGGGGTAGGTGTGGCCTTGTTAGAGGAAGTATATCACTGTGGGGGCAAGCTTTGAGTTTTCATATGCTCAAGCTATGCCCAGTGTGACATGGTCTCCTGCTGCTGCCTGATTGAGATGTAGAATTCCCAGCACCTTCTCCAGGACCATGTCTTCCTGCATACCACCATGCCTCTCACCATGATGATAATGGACTAAACTTCTGAAACTGTAAGCCAGTCCCAATTAAATGTTTTCCTTTATAAGGGTTACTTTAGTCATGGTGTTTCTTTACAGCAATAGAAACCCTAACACAACTCCCCAAGCTCTTATGTATTTTGTATAAAATTACATGTAATTCCTTTTGGGGGTGGGGGTGAGGAGGTGGGTGGATGTGTGCTGATACACTCGCCAGTGACTGTGGGTGTTGAGACTGGAGACAGTCTCCCTTATTGAACCTGTAACTCTGCACTTTTAGCTAGTCTGACTGGAGGTGAGCCCAGGAAGTCTGTGTTGTGTCTGCCCAGTGCTGGGGTTACAGGTGCACATTGCTGCATCCACCCTGCTGTGTCCATTAGAGTTGAGAACTGAGCTCCACTGCTCTTGTTTGGGAAACAGGCACTTTGCCACTCAACTGTCACCCTAGGTCCAGAGATAGATTCTCTCTCACTTGCCGATCATGTGATGCCAACCTCTGTAAAGAGAAGCTTTTTCTTTGAGAGAAGCCTTCCCGCCAGCCTGGTTCTAGAGCCGCATCAGTCCCAAATAAACACACAGGAGGCTATATTAATTATGAAGCTGTTGGCCTTGTTTGTTTCTTACTGGCTAGCTCTGACTTAAGTAATTACCCCATAATTGTTAATCTAAGTATGTCTCTAACCGGAGAAGTTTCCGGGCTTCCTACCCCATGGCGTGACATCTCGAACTCTGTTGTGTTTCTCCTTCCCAGAGTCCTCCTGGACTCCTAGTCCCACCTATCTAGATTCCTATTGGCTCAGCAGTGCTTTGTTGACATAAGACTTCCCCAAAAAACCTCAAATCATTATTTTTGTGCATTTTTATATGAAGAAATAGGCATCATTTTATCATTTTTCATTTAATAGGTGAAATTTTCTGGTGTTTACCCACCTTGCAACCCTCTGATCTTCATGGCAATGCTGTCTTTGGCCCTGCTGTATCTTACTAGAAATTCTGACCCACTATTGCCTCAAGTATTATGCCTGGTTCCTTCTCTTTCTGGAATTCTACTACACATATAATTAATGTTTTCTAGTTTCCTGACTGCTCTTTGCTACTATTTTTTTCTGCTCTTCCTCAAATATCAGAAATTTCATGTAACTTCTTTGGACTCAGAGAGTTTGTGCTATTTACTCATTGGCCCATGAAAAGTTCCTTTCACTTCTTAGATGAAGGTTGAAAGTTATCAGTGATAGTTTGTATTGTCCAGTTGACAAAATCTAGAATCCCAAATGACACAAAGCCTCCTGGAGCATTATGAGACACGGTCTAGATTAGGGTAGCATCTACTCATGCATGTGAGGCAACATTTAGATTAGGTTAGCCTCTGGGAACACCTGTGCAGAAACATGTTCAGCAAGTGCTCTAGCTCTGAGTTACATCTTGAATCCCAATAGTTGATTTATTTTCATAGATTCACTTTAATGCAGTGTCTCTTGTGTAATTTTTTTCTTAAATAATATTGTTTCAGGAATAACTTGTTTTATATTTATGTTAGCTTAGAGTGAGGCAAATCATTTACTTTTAATATCCCTTATTTTTCACATAACTGGCCTGTGTATATTGTTCTATTTTTTCTAAGATTTCTTTGGCTACCACTATAATCTTTCCTTGTGTGTACTTTTGATTTATTTTGTAGTATCTGTATTTTAATATAAAAGCATAACTGATTTCCTTTTGTCTATATTACATGATAGTTTTCCTCTATGCAATGATTATGTTTCACACAGATTCACACAAAGTTTGTTTTAAAACCCCTTTATTTTAAAATATTTTTTAAATCCTAAGAATTCTTTATTCACCATTACTTTATATAAAAGCATATGATTTCATCTCTGTACCTAGGAAATTTGTATTTATCTCTTGATGCCAGTTTCTAGTTTAACTTCCTATGATTTGAGAGCTGAAACTTTGATTCCTATTCTCTTCTGTTTTTAAGATGTGCCTTGACCTTGACTGTGGTCTATCATGACCTTGAGAAGAAGGTATAACCTGCTGTTGATACAGGAAGTAAAAGATCTAGTAGAGCTGTGTCCTTGCTAATTTCCATTCTCTTCTTCATTCCACTTCTGATAAAGGGAGGTCAAAGTGTCTAATGAAAATACCAGTTTCTCCTTATTTCCATTTTTATTTTTTCATGGTTTTCCCTCAAAAAATTTGAATCATTATATCAACCCAGTTAAAGGTTTATGTTTTCTTCCTTCAGTACTGATCCCATTATCAGCATAAAATAACTCTACCTCTTAATTTGTTTAGAAACTACAGTCCAAAATTCAGTTATTAATAATAACATTTATTCCTGTGAATCGCATCTGCTTTATTTTATACCCAGAATGGCTGCATGGGAAGCATGCAGCACCTGAGAATCATCTTGTCCCAAGTGTTTTGTCTTAGCTTTGTAGACAGTAACATCTTCTGCGGGTCCTGGAGTTACTTGGAAATGTGAGGTTCCATCACTGCAGGTTTCCTTGGAGAAAAGAAAACAGGATCAGATAGGCACATATAGAAACAGGGACCGTCTGGATTGGAATGATTTGGACTGCGCCTCCAAATTTCCTTTTCTGATTGAATGTTTCCACAATGGAGTTGCCACACGACGTCAGAAGTGTGATGAAGTTGAAGGAGAATGTTTTTGGCATATTTTCGTCTCTCTACCTTCCACATAGAGAGCTAGCTGTCTTCAAGAGAGAGCACAGTTAGAGAACTCAGGGATAAGTTGTTTTAAGAGGTGACTGGTGCATGAGTGTTGTTGAATTATAGCATTACTGGTGATCAGTGTCTGGGGTTGAGTGTTTCCACATTCTCAACCAGTCATTTAAGCAGTTGAAATAAATGTGCATTATAGATTGCAAAAGTAGCAGGCCAGAAAACACTGCAAATGGGCCAATGGCCACAGAGTAAAGTTACGTGGGGGCCTGGACTGTTGCTTGGCACTTGCTTTTATTGAGATTTGAGGGAAGGTGGTATGTGGTTACTTCTTTTTGCAATTGATAATGGTTAATGCAGACACTCTTAACTGGTCACAGTGTCATGTATTATGAGTAACTGAGAACTCATCTGGGATCATCTATAATAGCTATCCCTATATCCAGGGAATGAGGAACGTCATGAAGAGGGTATAGAAAGAATGTAAGAGCCATTGAATGGGGAGAACTGTGAAATGCCAACTTCTGAACATGACTTGGTTATTGAATACATTAACTCATAGTTGTTATGGTTCCCACACAGACCTTTAAAAGATCAAGCCATTCAAAATTCCAGCATGGATGTGTGAAGGGTCCTTTGGCCTCACCATTAGTGGAGGAGTTATTGGCTGTTGATGGCTCCTGAAGGAGGGAGGGAGAGTAATTCCCCTCTTGAGACATGGCTACTGCTAGATTCCCATGCCATAGTAAATAGTCTCTCTGCTCTTGACTATGGATATGATTGACTAGCTTGCTTCAAAGTCCCATCTTGACTTCCCCACAATGATAGTCTGTAACTGACTTTTAAGTTAAATAAACCCTTTCTCGCTCAGCTGCATTTTCTCAGAGATCATGGTAACAGGATGGAACTAGGGCAGAAATTTGTACAGAGGGCCAGTGCTATGACAAACATGATCATGCTGTTTTTCCCTGGTAATGTGCAAGAGACTGAAACTAAAGTATTTCTCATGCTTGCTTGTCTTACTAGATCCTGGGGAAGTACTCTGCCGTTTATGGGAGGGTTGCAATTTTAATGCATATTTAATAAAAGAATGAATCTGTTTAAGTCTCACCAAGAAATGAATAAAAGAAAAAGAGGCCTCATAGACTAGTTTCAAATAATCTATATTATGCAAATAAAATAAAGGACAAATATTCAACAAATGTTCCAAGTTAATATGAGGCAGTTTCCCATTTGGTATGACTTTCCCTATATTAAAGAGTATAAGGCCCTCCCAGGGCAAAGAATCCCACACCACGGGGGGGGGGGGGAGGGGGGATGCTGGGGGAGGGGGTGGACAATCAAGTCGCAACCACATTGTTCTGGAACTTCAGATTGATTACTTCCTAAAGATCTAGAACTCCTAGATCTAATGTTTATTGGTGTACTGTGTTTGCCAATGGTGCCAATGAGGGCCATTGTCCCCAGTTTTATAATGATGTACAGACATGTGGAATTTGTTAACCATCTGTAAATTGGACAAGCACAGCCTCTGATCTAAACCATGCAGAAGTGGCTTGTCTGTGTTCCAGGCCAGGTCAGTCACATCTGTCTGTGCTGCTTGTTTGTTAATTTTTTTTCCAAGACAGGGTTTCTCTGTGTAACTCTGGCTGTCCTGGAACTCACTTTGTAGACCAGCCTGGCCTCCAGCTCACAGATGTCCACCTGCCTCTGCCTCTCGAGTGATGGGATTAAAGGTGTGCGCCACAACTGCCCATCTCACACCTGTGCTTCTTATTTTGATGAAGCTGACGTGGGATCTCCGGGCAGATCCGAGTTGCAGCCCTTCTAGACACCGGTGTCTACGCACACAAAGTGTCATTTTACATTATCTGTGAAAGGGGAAGTAGTGTGAGGGTCTGAGTTTCCTGACTTGCTAAAAGGCTTACCCTCTCCTTTCTCCATCCCAAAACTGTTATTTGATAAAAAAAAAAATGTGCTCTCGATCAAAGACAGCTCAGGCTATCCTGAGGTATTTTTCAAGCAGACCTGATGTTTTGAGGCTCCCAACTTCATCCTGTGAAAGCCGACATTAGTCATGTAAGCACAAATCTGCAAGTGCATGCCTACACTTCTTGAGGCCTTTCAGTGTGAGAGGCACTACTGAGAGAAATCACTAAGGTCACTTATTTACCCCTCCTAACCAGCTCCAGACTGCAGTCAAGTCTCCAGTTATGACAAGATTGCTGGGTTATCACACTGGTTCCCAGCCAAGCCAAGGTCACCAAGTGGGAAACTGAGTCCAGATTTAAACCCCAGCAAGACTGAATCTCTGCCCTGTCCTTTTGGGTGGCACCTCCATTGCTGCTGTACTTTCCAGAGCTTACTGAGTAAAGACACCAAGCTTAACCAGGACTTGAATCTCTTCAGTTTTGTGGTTCCCAGTCTGTGGCTCTGGGTGCTGTTTCCCTGGTACCTGAGGAAACAGTGAATGGGGCTCATGACTAGTTCTAGGTTCCTCAACTTGTTAGATAAAAGCAAAGCCATTATCCTGACAGTTGGCAGTAAAATCTTTGGGGCACTGGTTTCACTCAGACCTCTGTAGTATTTTCCAGGTATGGCCAAAGAGAGAGAAAAAACGCCATTGAGGAAGTGAACACAGCAATGCTCCAGGCAGCAAACTGGCAATGTGAGCCCTTCCCATGCACACCAGGCACAGCCCTGCCGCTGCTGACCCTCAGGTATGGCAGGTAAACCCTCCCAGGAGGAAGGCTGACTCGTCCTGTGAAGGGCAACTGCCTATGCTGGGATTAGACAATGGGGAACTACTGAACTGAAATGTTAGGGGACTAGGTCCAATAGTGAAGGGGTCAGTGTGCACAGGGTGCTCAGAGAAAAGTCTGGAAAAAGGGAAGAGCCAGGCATAGAGCTAAGGTGGGATAGTGGGGGGAGTGTGTATCAGAAAACAGAAAGGATGGGCTGGGCTGCGCAGCAGGCTGAAGAATACAGAGCCAATAGGACAGACATCTGGAACAAGAACAGGAAGAAAGAGTAGGAGTGGGAAATTAGGTTTAACATATAAAATGCTCGGAAGCCATTTTGTCATCTCTCCAGAAGAGTCTCCAGACCTCTCTTCAGTAAATGCAGACAATGACTTTGCAGGTGCCAGGCCTACCATGGCAGTCACCTTGCAGGTCACCTCAGGTCTGTTGTGCCTGACAGACATGGTGAAGCATCATGGCATCCCTCTTTGTCCAGTGCATCAACCTGAGCAACCACCAGGCAAGAGGCCCCCATGTCTAGTCTACGAGTGCTGATGGCAAGTGGTAAGTGAAAGAAATGGAGCTATAATGTTAGCGTGTGCTGGTGGGATGAGATGGGCATCTATCCCCCTTCAGATGGCAGGGGTAAGGCATGGGACAAAGCAAACGTGTGGGGACCTGGGGGAGCTTCCCTGAATCAGGGGCTAGGAAAAGAGTCAGTGCCACAAGAGTGCTTCTTCCAAAGGCCTCTCATACAATTTACAGCACTTGTGAGACTCGGGAAACTGGAGAGGAGATGCTTCTTCATTTTTATCAAGCAGGAGGAATCCACAGACCAGGACAGAAAGGAGGGTCTCCTCAGAAGACACAGGCAGCCTCTGATTTTTAACATAAATGTGTCCTTATTCAAACCAGCTTTCGCATAGACAACAGATAAGTGGTTCTTGTTTTGTTCTGGGAGGCCATTTCATTCACTGAACTGGTGGAGTTAATACAACTTACAGTTTTTGGACCGTTATCTGCTGCGTCTGGAACTGGTTACTATCTGCTGTGCCTGTGATGTCTGGCTCTCCTCTCAGCACTGGTGTTTCCCAGCTTTCCAAGAGTGTTTTATATGAAGCATTTGTTTCTTCCCTGCTAGTTATGGCTCCTTTGTTAGCTTCTTGCTGATTTCTCTAGATTTACAGTCCAGAAACAATCTCAGAGCCCTACCCTCCTCTTGAGATAACCCAATACATTGTAACTACAAAATGTTCATTCTACTTGAAAGTTGTTGCCTAATTAATTCATTTGACAGTAGTGCTTCTCTCTCTAACGTGTGTATGTGTGCACGCACACATGCACACTGGCTGAATACCTTACTCCTTTATTGGCTGTCCTTTCTTTTGTTTCTTGTGAAAAATTCTAAGCATTGGTTGATGTCCTTGCACAATTGTTAGCACTTGTCACTACATCATTGACCACTATGAAAAGGACTTACTCTACAGTATCTCCATTTCATGGCAGGGAAACTGAGTCATGAAATGGCTTAAGCTGATACTTCCAATGGAGCCTAAGCTGAACCCAGAACCCTGACTCAGTCCAGACTGGCCCCTGCTCCTCTTAGTTGTCACCTGGAGCACTCCTGAGCTTCCTGGTGCTCACAAAGCCATGCTTACCAAGGGTGTGGGGTCCCATCTGTCTTCTCCAATTCCAGGAGCTGTGCCTGGAGAATTCTTCCTCAACTCCTGGAGGATAAGTGGAAAGACATTAAGAAACCATGTGTGGATCCCTCTGAAGAAGGCTTTCTGATGACTGTGGAAAAGCCTTCTTAGGATTCTGATTTCTCTAAACCCTCTAGGAAGTTTCTCAGTTACAGCCAGGTTCAGTGAGAGAAGAAGTCAATACAGAAATCAGGGGAGATGACATCCAGGCTGTCAGCTGGCTACATCATCCTGCTTTTCCTGTGTTCACCATGATGGGCTGCTAGGAAAACAGTCTTGCCATTTCTGACATGAACTGTCTGCAAGGATCCCTTGTGTGAGGTTTTACACTTACCCAATCTGACTGAAGGTAACCAGCTTCCTGATGAGAAAGAGAGACTAGACAATTCTCCAGCGGTGCTCTTTTGGGAGAAGTAGTCATGAGGGTAGACAAATAGGAAGAGGGTTTGAAGAGAGCACGGTGCTTAGAAGAAAGTTTGTCTACACAGGAGGAGCTGGGCAAAATGATCATAAAGGTGGGGAAGTAGGAAGTGTTCTTTAGAGGAGGGAAATAGGTCGGGTAGAAAACAGACAGAGGATTCGTATGACAAGAAGGTTGAGGGGTGGACGGCTGAGATGGGAAGAGGCGAATGCTGGTTGGATAAACAGAGGATGGGGGAGTCTGAGGGGGGAGAGGATGTCGTAGACTTCCCAAAATTCTTGGATGCTTTCTTCTCATCTTCCCAGCACCCTGCAAAGCCCTTACTTTACTAATGGCAGTTAGTGACTGAGCTTGGCCTAACCTGCTGTGGCAGTTATGTCACAGGTCAGCCCTCACCTCATTCCATGACAGAATGTCCATTGTGAAGTGACACACCCTCCCTTTGCTCCAGTACTTCAGCCTCACCTCCAGAGAAACAGACTCTCAGGGTCTAGGTGTAAGCATGACTGTGGCAAATAGCGCTGAGCAGTAGAGATGTAGCATTAGACTTTGCCATCAGGCAGTGCTTTCCTTTCATTGGTGGAGCCTAGGCAGACACATGGACTAGGTCCACGTGCCGGGGTCCTGAGGCAGCAGCCCTAAAACAGGAACTGGGAAAATGTGTGGATGTCAGGTTAAGTGGCTTTATAATGGCTTTCATGTTACACAACAGGATAAATAAAAGTGATTAGAGATCTGTGTGTGTGTGTGTGTGTGTGTGTGTGTGTGTGTGTGTCCCTTTTTAAACCATACTTCTCTCTCTGACTCCTGCCTTAGCTACTGTCCCGGCATCATGCCCACCTGCCTGCTGCCATGCTACCCATCATGATGGTCATGGACTCAATCTCTGCAATTGAAGCCCATTATACTCTTCCTTGCACTTGGTCACCTTGGTCATGGTGTGTCTTCCCAGTAATTAGGACAAATGTAGTACTAGGGAGTGCTGGTCTTGCCGTGACAGGCCTGATCGTTCTGGGTTTTGAGCAAAGAGAAGACTTTGGCACTTTAGTAAAGAGGCTAAATATTGTAATTAGGGTTTAATGGTGCATCCTAATAGGATATTGGAAGACAATATTGCCAAGAGCAGTGTGGACCATGGAGCCCCAGCTCAAGGGGTTTCAGAGGGAAACAATATTTGCAGCTGGGCTGGAGACCACTCTTTCGATAGTTTGGCAAGCAATGTGGCTACTCTCTGCCTTTGCCCCACTATGCTCCTTTTCCTCCCTCTCATGTGGTGATGCATATTCTGTGTCATTGTGTGTTGGAAGTGTGTAATTGATCTTTGATTCTATATGTGGTTACAGTTTAGAGACTGAGTCCCAGAGAAAACCTAGAGTCCCTGAACAGATTTTGCACTTTTAAACTGCTGAGACTGAAAGAATAAATGTGAGCTGGGTTGTTACACAGAGAAACCCTGTCTAAAAAAAACAAATAAACCAAAAAGGTATCTATTTCAGAAGTAAATATCCATCCCTAATTTTTAATTAAAAACTTGAACTTTATTATAAAAAATTATATACATACACACACAAATTTCTACCTAAATTAACTAGACCCAAAACTATAAAACTCAGTGAATTTCTCCATAGAGTATCTGTGCAAAATGGAAATTGTGATTGCACAAGAAGCAATATAAATTTATGAATTAAAACTCTGTACTGCTACATAGTGTCTTATAATGATTATTTTCAATGTATATCTTTTATGGTTAAAAAAATTCTGAGGAACCAGGCATAGTGGCTCATGCCTTTAATTCCAGCACTCAGGAGGAAGAAGCAGGCAGAGTTCTATGTGTTCCAGGCCAGCATAGCCTACATAGTTAGAAATCCTGTCTCAAAATAAAAAATATGAGCGCCATAGGGACCAAATAGAACAGGTAAGTATAAATAAAATATGAATTAAGGAAAGGTAGAGTTGGGATAATGGCTCAGTGGTTAAGAACTCTGACTGCTCTTGCATAGGATCTGAGTTCAGTTACCACACCTACCTTGAGTGGCTCACAACCAACTGTAACTCCAGTTCCAGGGGATTTGATGTCCTCTTTTAGTCCCTGCAGGCATTAGACATGCACCTGGTACACAAACATACATGCAGACAGATATACAGATAAACTAAAGATGAACAAATCTTTAAGCACTGAGTGGGCTTTATGATAACAGGACAACAAATGTGAACCCCATTACTGTACCTGTAGAAAAGTAAGCTATTTCTCAGCTTCTTGATTATGTAAGAAACGCAAACAATAATGGGAGCATATGCACTGACAACATCCATTCAAGCAAACACGTTTTATTTTTAAAGATTTTTTTTAATTTTGTTTTTTGAGACAAGTTTTCTCAACAGTCCTGGCTGTTCTGGAACTTACTTTATAGACCAGGGTTGGCCTTGAATTCACAGAGATCCACCTGCCTCTGCCTCCTGAGTGCTGGGATTAAAGGTGTGCACGGGTAGAGATGTACTTTTAACGTATTCATATTTGTGTGTGTGTTGTATGCATGTACGTATGCATTTGGGTTCTTGTGGAGGCCAGAGGTGAGTTCCCTGGAGCTGGAATCACAGGTGCTTGTAAGTTCCCTAACGTGGGTGCTAGGAGCCGGGCTCCTACAGGTGCAGCAAGTGCTCTTACCCTGGGAGCCACCTCTCTATTCCCTAAACCACTTACTAGGAAAAACTGGATCTGAGATGACGTTTTAATTATAGATAATCTAGATAATGCAAAGTGTGTTCATTGGAGGTTATTTTATATGAGATTTCACATAAAGGTGGGGTTTAATTTTTAAGGGAACTGTTCTTACATTTCTGTTTTGTTGTAAGACAGTATTCACAGATGGGGTAAAATTAGTGTGAATCTGTGTCGCCTTTTCTGTCCCTTTTCAGATTTTTGACTACCGAGTCTGAAGAAGTTGGCCAGGGCAAACGTATAGCTTAATGTGAAATGGTCCCCGGTAGGCTTGCCTGTTTGAACCTGGCTAGTGGTGCTGTCTGGGAAGGCTGTGGAACTTTGAGGAGGTGGAGGCTGTCTGGAGGAAGGCAGTCACTGGGGCAGGCCTGTGGATGATATGTCCCAGTCCCACTACCTGTTCAAGCTCTGCTCCCCTGAGCATGCCTGGACACAGATCACACCTTTCCATCCCTGAGCATGCCTGGACATAGGTTGAACCTTTCCATTCCTGAGCATGCCTGGACACAGATCACACCTCCCACTCTGAGCATGCCTAGACACAGATCACACCTCACACCCTGAGCATGCCTAGACACAGATCACACCTTTCCATCCCTGAGCATGCCTGGACACAGACTCCACTTCCTACTCTGAACATGCATATACACAGATCACACCTCACACCCTGAGCATGCCTAGACACAGATCACACCTCACACCCTGAGCATGCCTAGACACAGATCACACCTTTCCATCCCTGAGCATGCCTGGACACAGACTCCACTTCCTACTCTGAACATGCATATACACAGATCACACCTCACATACCCCAACCTTCCCCTGCCACCACTCTGTCTTCTCTGCCAGCTGCCATGTGGTCTCAGTTGCAATGGAATGACGTCCTAGAAAGATAAGCCAGAATAAATGCTATTTTCTGTAGGTAGGTATTTTATCATAGCAAAGAGAAAAGTAAGTTAACTGATATGCTAAGTACTTCCAAATCTATTGAACCTACTGCAATAAAAAAAAACAATTGTTACCTCTATAGGAAACAATTGATAATGTCTCAGAAGAGGAAAGTCAGGGGAGGTATTTTCAACTAGTATGTGGTCACACTGGCTGTACTGATTTGAAAAACTCTGGTTTACATTCGATGCACTTGTGGTATTGGCACTAGCCAAGCAGAGAGAAGCAGGTGATTAACTATGTCTGGTCAGTTAACTACTCTGTGATTGTTGCTGAGGTGAAATCCATTGTGTGAGGGCTTTGAACATATAGTCTCATTTCTTTTAATGTCCATTTCCAATTCTTTCTGGGGAAATGTAGTTGATGCTAGCTGTGACAAAAAGTACCTAGAACTTATTCCATGAAAACAAAACTTACCTAGTGAGGTGTGACATGATAGAAAGCTTTCAACTTTTGTTATACTTTTGTGATGAGCCTGTGATCATCACCTAAGATGCTTTTGGAGGTTGAATTGTGCTTGTACATCCCATTTAAGACACTCTTTTCTCTACAAAATCACTAAAGGTAAGTAACTTGTGTTCAAATCCATCAGTTCATAGTGTGTTATTTTGACAAATTTGACAGCTCTGTAGTGATTGCAATGAGTGTCTGATAGTTCAGTGTGTTTGATAAAATGAACAATTCAGAAATTCATTGTCTTAGTTATGTTTCTATTGCAATTACAAAACATCATGACTAAGGTAACTCACAAAGGAAAGTATTTAATTGGGGACTTGCTTACAGTTTCGGAGCATTAGTCCATGACTATCGTGGTCAGAAACATGGCAGCAGCTAGACCAGCATAATACTAGAGCAGTAGCTGAGAGAATCAGCTAGAAAGGTGTTGGCTTTTGAAACCTCTAAATCCACCTTCCCACCCTGTGCCCTCTGGCGACACACCTCCAACAGGTCAAACTTCAAATCCTTCCCGAAGAGTTCTACCAACTGAAGACCAAGCTTTCAAATGGTTGATCCTACTGGGGGCCACTCTCTTTTGACCACCACATCTGTGAATATTCTTGAGCATGGAAAACAGAAGGAAACACCACACTGCCAGGTATCAGATGAACCAAAGGAAGGATCGACAGGAAAAAGCTCTGCAAATGTGTAGAATGAAGACAGGACATCCCTAAATGTGTGAGATGCAGACATCTTATGACAAAGAAGAAGTTTATAGTTTGAATGGCACCATTTTTTATTATTAAATTTATTCATTTATTTTACATCTGACCGCAATGTCTCCTCCTTCCTCTCCTCCCATACCCTCCCCCAAATCCCCTCAGCCACAACTGTCTACATTTTAAAAGAATCAAGGTCTCATACACACAATAGCCTAGTCGTGTACAGTCACACTCTGAAAAAAGGGAATTAAACATTTAGTGATCAGAATGGAAGAGTTAATACAGCTCAGACGAAAAAACTAATGCATTGGAAAAAAAAAAACAAAACAGGATAGGATGAAAGGTGATCCCTGTAAAAGATCAATAAGGTTTTCAAACTTTTAGTTAGAAAGCCGGAGAAGAAAACAAACTCAAATTATTAAAATCACTTCCGGTAGCCATCAACACAGATTTTGTAGGAACTTAAGGGACAGTTAAAAGCTTTATGAATGAATGTAAGCTAGTGAGTTAGGTGACCTAAATTAATGACAATAGTTTTTGATTTTTTGAGAT